CCTCTCTCGCGCCCAACTGTCCCCTTCCCCCCTCCTCTAACCGACCGCTATGACGGGTAAAGGTGGAGGCAGGAAAAACCAACCCACACGCTTTGCCAGGCAGTTTCAGTCACTCCGTCAGTCACTCCGTCAGCCGGCCTTCCCCGAAATTAAATTAAAAAAGGAAAGAAGGGGGGGGAAGGAGTAGAAAATCTTATTCCCGTCCTCGGTTGTGTCGGCCGCCTCCTTCCTCGAGCGCTCCCCCACAATAGATCCGGCTCAGCCAGCAGCCCTTCCGCCCCACCAGGCCCCGGCCCAGGTCGAATGGCAAATGAACAACGGACTGCGCCCACAATGCACTGGGGCGGCGGCAGCAGCAGCCGCCGACGCCGCGGGGGAAGGGAGGGAAGGGGGAGTGAGAGGGGAAAAAGGAGGGGGCGAGGAGGAGCCCGAACAGCTGGCCAGTGTCAGGTTTTAGTGCGCGCTCGCGTCACGCGCGGCCATTGGGCTGCGCGGCTTCCCTTCCCCTCCCCTCGCCACGACTTGGCAGGAGTTTGTGTACGCGGATGTTGCCCTTCACTGGCGCCCCCCCAACTCCTCCTTTTCCTCCCCAGAGCCACGACGCGATTCTCCCCGCCCCTCATTAAGGAGCACGGGCTCTCCACCCTCCTGAGGCGGCCGCAGCAGCAGCAGCAGCGCCCAGGCGCTCCCCACCCCTTTGACATCATCATCATCACCCCAGTGAGCCTTAAGAAGTGGACATCTTGAGTCCCTCTCTTCCCCAAGACCGCCTTCCTCCCTCCCAGGCACCACACCCTCTGACAACCGTCCCTCAGGAAACCGAAACCTTGAATGGTACAACGGCGCTGGCACTCGCGCCCTGAACGGTTACATATCTTCCGGACATACACATGCCACGCAAAGTCCTGACAACAAACCACCCTCTTCCCTCGACACGCGCGCACACACAGCACACAACAGACGGGGCTAATCGCCTTCCCCTCAGAGCACACCACGTGGCTCCTTCGTCCATCGCCCGTGTGTGTTTGTGTGTGTGTTTGTGTGTGTGTGGGGGGGGGAAACAGAGCCTTGTTGTGTCCTTGAACTACGCTGCCCATATTAACCCGGTCCACACAAAATCTCCCTCACACACGCAAAGCGGCTGCCGCTCTAGGGTTGCCTCCTACAGCGGTGCTCTGGGTGGATATCCATATATAAATATAATACGTCTGTAGAAAGTCTGCCTGGGGGCTACGGGGGCGAAGCGCTGCCCGCCTCCGCTTATGAGCCGCGCCGTGCCAGGCCCCAGTAATTACAGGGAAAATGTACTGCCCCGAGTGCTTTTATTACTCCGATTGTGAAATGGGGAATTTAAATATAGAGGTCACGCACGTGCTGCTGCTGCTGCTGCGCCGAACAGGCTTGTTCTGTTGACACACGGCAGTTGCCTCATTAGCAGCTAACAGTCCGGCGTCGGGCATGTCGCTACTTGCGTAGCTTTCTGAACCGAAGTTTATTCTCCGGGGACCTTAAAAAAAAAAAAAAAAGGGGGGGGGGGGGCTACCCGGAGGTTGCTAAACAAGTTGCGGGGAGAGCGAAGATCGCTCCGGGAAAAGTCCGAAGCTCGCATCTCGCCCAAAGTTGCGAGTGCTGCAAAAGCTCGTTGAACACATCGCTCCAGTTAAATTAAATTTTAAAAAAGAAGTGTGGAAGCAGTAACTTTAGGTGTATCTGATTCTGTACTGGTAGGGCCGCAATAAGCAACGCCAGCGCCCTGAGAAAGTTAACATAACTCTTCAGCGTTTGTTTCTACAAGCCTCCTCCTCCTGCCATGTAATAAGCTTTGGGTAACTTACTTGTCCTACTGTTAATTCTGAGAGGACCTTCTGCGTAGTTCTTCTCTGAACAAAGTAGTGAGTGAAATATACATTGCCAAAAGAGAGGCTGGATTAGCCTGTTCGTCTTTTGTAGCCAAAGCAAAAAAAAACAAAAAAACAAAACAAAGAGAGGCTGGATTAGCCTGTTCGTCTCTTGCAGCCAAAGCAAAAAAACAAAACAAAAACAAAAAACAAGAAAACCCCATAGAGTCTTCTGATTCTTTAATGACTAATAAGTTCCTTAATACCCTGTTGCTTCTGAAACATAAATGTAATGGTATCTAAAATTATTAGTGTAGGTAAAATACATCTGAGAAATTAAAGTATTTCTAATTTTAGTATCAGAATTATTAATTAACAATAATTGCTTGTAACTGCTTATTTGACTCTCTCTTATGATTAGGTAACAATAAATATTCATAGAAACCTATCTTGATAAGAATAGTAGGGTATTTCCAGAATGAGAGCATAGCCTGAACTACTTTATACCAAACTACTTTATACCGCACTTCTTTATACCAGACTACTAACTACAAAGACAAGCTTTGTCCCACCTTGAACACAGACATGTAAAAATGTTTCCTTGGACTAGATTCTGCACCATTTAAGAGAAGACATGCATTGTCTTCTTCATTGAAGGACTGTCTCTTCCAATATTACCTCCTACTTACAGTTTCTGAAACTACTTTCAGTTAAACTATAATAATAACAAATATTGCTTCATTAATGTAGGGCACCTAATTGGTAGGAAAAAATGTTTAAGCAGTTTATCTAATCAAATGCATCCTTATCCTTTCTGGACTATATGCCTTTCTTACTGTGACACATCCCATTATAAACGGGTCACATTTTCACAGCTAGCTCCTATCCATGTTTATTGGGAAATAAGTTCAGCTTACTTGAATAGGGTTACTCCCACACAGTCATGCAATTCAGTCGAATGCAAATTTATTTCTGCTTGGTCAAAGTCACTCCCAGATGTGCATCAGTAATTATTTTCTAAAAACATGTTAAGAGCACATTCACAAGGTGATTCCTGTAGCTCCAGTTTATAACTTTTGTGCCAAACAAGTGTGAAGTGCATAAATAGAAAAATTCTAAGAAAATGAAAATTTTATAGTCTCATACTAGAACTCCTGCCATGCATGCTGCACTCTATACAGAGTTGGAAAGGAATGGTTAAGAACAAATGGAGACCAACAGGATATATATGCAAGAGTTGAAACACCCACTGTTGATGGGATGTTTTCAAACCAAAGTATCTATTTGCTGTAACTGGTTCAGGCGGCATGAGCACGAAGAAAGAAAAATCAATTTCATTAAATATAATTTGTTGCGATATCCCACACTCCAAATTCAAGGCAAATCTATCAAAGAAATCATGGTTAACTAGCAATATGGATTTTAGCGTACAGAATGAAAACAGGTCTGAATTACTTACGTATTTATTTGTAAATCTGCTTCATTATTGTATGAAGGAGGTCAAGAAAGTCACCACCAGAAACTGAGCATTTGTTACTTGATGTCCTATGGTTTAAATATGTTTATTCCAGTCAGTTTCAATCAGCTAGGTGGGTTTATCATATTGTATTGTTTACTGTCAATATTTATACTTGTACTGTATTATTTGTGTTTTTATGTGTTAGCTGTTAACAGTCCAGAGAGTGCATACCAATGGGCAGTATATAAGATTAACTAACCAACCAACCAACCAACCAGCCAACCAGCCAACCAGCCAACCAACCAGCCAACCTACCTGCCAACCCAACCAACCAACCAACCAACCAACCAACCAACCAACCAACCAACCAACCAACCAACCAACCAACCAACCAACCAACCAACCAACCAACCAACCAACCAACCAACCAACAGAACTATACTATTCAAGATGCCTAATATTTCCACCTAATTATCTTATTATATTAAAAATAATGACTGCATGCTGTCAAGTCACTTCCGACTTATGGCAACCCTTTCCTGGTACAGTATGTGAGTTCTCAGAAGTGGCTTACCGCTTGTTTCTTCAGGGTGCAGTCTCAGACTGTGCAGCTTGCTAAAGGTTACACAAGCTGGTTGTCCTTCCGAGTGTCAAGAGTGGGAAATGGAGTTCCAACCTCCCACTGAGCTCTCCAGCCAGCTGATTATATTAGACATTGTAATTACAGTATCTGTTAGCATTTTGCACAATGTTCCATGTTTTCATATAAACACCTAGGGCAGTGATCCCAACCTTGGGTCCTCAGAGGCAGCTTGCTAAAGGTTACACAAGCTGGTTGTCCTTCCGAGTGTCAAGAGTGGGAAATGGAGTTCCAACCTCCCACTGAGCTCTCCAGCCAGCTGATTATATTAGACATTGTAATTACAGTATCTGTTAGCATTTTGCACAGTGTTCCATGTTTTCATATAAACACCTAGGGCAGCGATCCCAACCTTGGGTCCTCAGAGGTTATTTAACTACAACTCCCAGAAATCCTGGTAAGCACAGCTTTTAGTGAAGGCTTTGGCGAGTTTTAGTCCAATAACATCTGGGGACTCAAGATTGGAAACCGCTAACCTAGGGTTTGTGCTGTGATACGTAGTAGTATTCTACAACCAGTTCATGAACACCGATAAACGTCTACTGTAAGTTGCCAGGTTGGCAGTTTCAGCTGCAAACATCAGTAAATGATCTAAAGTCAGCTGATCTTCTGTGCTCTTATCTGTAGCCTGGGGAAGAACAGCTGGCCCATTAATTTTAATGCAATGTTTTGCCTCCTCCACCATGGTCACTCAAATGTAAACATTCTTATTCCTTTAGCAGTAATTGTCAGCAGAAATCTCCATCTTATGCACTTATTCCACATTCTCACCCATGTTTTCTCAGATGGCAGAAGTATCTGCTGGATTTTAATTTCCTTCTAAAATTCCAGTTTGCTCACTGAATATGCCCCATAGAACCTGATGACTATACTTTACATATAGGATTGCATGGTTAGCCAAGCATTGTTCACCATTGTTTATGTTCAACTGTTTAGGAATACCATTATTAATGGTACTGTACACAGTACTTCAGTTTGAATGTAGGACAGCTCAAGTTTTAAAGGAAGAAAGAAAATACGCACCTATTTTTTAGTTTAATTATACTTGGCATTTGTATAGCACTTTCAAGCATCCAAAATGTGTGCCTTATCTAGTTGTTACCCTTAAGAAGTGTAGTACGTATAACAGTTATAGTTCTGCATTGAGGCTGTGGACTGTGAAACTCACTCGGTGACCTTTGGCCAGTCACAGTGTCTCAGCCTGACCTACCTCACAGGGTTCTGGTAAGGATAAAGCAGGGAGAATAAAAACTATTTATGTGTATGCTACTGTAAGTTCACTGGGCAAGTAGTATAAAAGTGACTAACAAATGAAATGTCTCTACAAGGTGAAAACAACTTGTTAGGGTGGCCCCATCAGGAGAACTGGGCTCCTGTACTTTAACTGTTGTGCAGAAATATATATTTTAGCACATGTAGTTTGTGTAACTAATTTTACCTGCTGAAATATCTTCTTCACTATAATTAAAGTTCAGGATCCCAGTCTTATGTGCCACCCGACCCTACTAGTAGCATCTTAAAGGTAGACATTTCATTTGGCATAGGCGTTTGAGAATTCAATAGATAAGTTTACACTTGCTTGAGCTGACATATTATTATACACATGTTGTGAAGGAGATGACTGGAGATGTAATCCATGGGGAGAGAGAAACTGAAATGTAGAAGATAGCAAACAGTAAGTTGGCCTTTCATGCCTCATAATGCAGATCAAGGGACTGAAGATGAGAAAGAATACACTTTATGTGTTTGTGACAGAAGAAAGAACTTAACAAAGAGCTTCCCGATTTGCAGTTCAAAGCTGCAACCACTCCACTCCACAAGGTCAACCTCTGCTTTAGAATTTCAGGAAGTGAGGGATTCCTCTGTAAAACTGATTTTGACAGCAGTTAAATTATGCTGAAAACCACAAGGAAATTCTTTTTTGTTTTTAGTCATGGAGGAGGAACATTAGAACACACAGTGATATCTCCCTTCTCTTACTGCAAATATTTATGGTGGTTTCAGAGGAAGAACAATCTGTGTATGAGGACAAATAGTTGATAGGACAAATTGTATGAATATGCATTCAGTTCAACCCATATGTAAATTTTGTTAGAATCTTGAAGTTAAACTCAAGCACTACTGTAGGACAGCTCGGGACGAGTCTCATTGTAAACTTGCTGTTGTCCATTTGAAAAGGTGCACTGCAGAAGTGAATGCCGCTAAGAGAACCTATGTCTCTGCCACAGGTGCATCTGTGCATACTCGTAGCAGAACAGTGATGCTTTTCCAAACTGTGCAAGGCCTCCTTCACCAGGGCACTGCAGAAGGAGTGCCAGAACAACCAGATACTTGCTATGAGCAATGTGCTCTGTGTTTAGTAGACAAGTTTCATTAAATTTACGTTGACTTGGAATCTGATATTATACGTATTAGGTCTTGTTGATGTGACTGGGGCAACTGCTTGTCCTTTTAGATGGCATTCCTTCCAGTTTGCAGAGCTTGAGGATGTTGACAGAGGGCTTGGATTGGTGAGGGCTACTA